TGTAAGGAGGTTGTACAATGCTCTTGGTCAGAGTTCCTAGCTCACATTGAGGACGGCTGGCATCGGAGGAACATTGCCGAATTTAGAGAGTGAAATCACATTATTGTGTCATCTTGAGCAGCAAAATATATGTTTTGGAAACAATGAGCGTATGAGTTTTGACTAAAATAGGGAGATATTAAAACTAAGTAGCAAAAGGTGAAAATAATAATTTCAACTATTGTTGATTCACCGTTAATAATCTCAAAAAAAAATTACTAGTATATATATTATATATATATTGTTGTCTAGAACTATAGAAGTGTATAAAAATCAAAAAGTCAAAATGTAAACATTTGATGTTTGGGTGAAATGGAAATAGGCCTGCGCTTCAACTTTAACGCCTTGGGTTCGATTCCCTTTGTTTTCCGACATGGTGGCTCATATTCTTAAAAATTTTCAGTTCGAGAAGATGATTCTTTTTCATATTCTTACAAATTTCATCCCCTCAAAATCTCTTTTCCCACACGAGAAGATGATTCTTTTTCGAACATGTTATATTTTAATTTTAATTCTGGACGAGTACATGGTGTTTTACAAATTTCATTTGTCTTTGATTAATTTATTTCATTGGATTATTCGTATTTTTTAAATTTTTTAGTTGGAGAAGTACAGGGTGTCTTACAAATTTCATTTGCCCCCAGCCCTTCGAAATCTCTTTTCTCACACGGGAAGAAGACGATTCTTCTTCAAACATGTTATATTTTAATTTTAATTCTGGATGAGTACATGGTGTCTTACAAATTTCATTTGTCTTTGATTAATTTATTTCATTGGATTATACATATTTTTAAAATTTTTTAGTTGGAGAAGTACAGGGTGTCTTACAAATTTCATTTGCCCCCCAGTCCTTCAAAATCTCTTTTCTCAAACGGGAAGAAGACGATTCTTCTTCAAACATGTTATATGGATGAGTACATGGTGTCTTACAAATTTCATTTGTCCTTGATTAATTTAGTTCATTGGATTATTAGGTGAAAATTAGTTCAATTATTTTTGTATAGACTATAAGTACAAAGAAAATCAGTTTTACTTGGTTTTTGAGGAATTGATCTAAAAATCGGTACCAAACATAGGGTTTTAATGGTTTTATTGCTTTAAGCCTTTAATGACTCTGATCTTTATACTTTTATTCTTTCAGCTTTTAGGCTTTCAGCTTTATGTCTTTATATAATTCTAATCTTTATATTCATTTTTACATTTAATTTGACAATACCAGTCCAAAAACTTAAAGAATAGTTGAAAATTTGAGGTGTTTTCATTAAAAAAATTATTCTTTTAATATTTATTTTTTTCTTTGACATTTTTGTTGAAAAAATGTTATTTTATATCTGAAAATAAATTTTGTTAAATACATACTCCGTATTTTTTTACAACATTTTGATATATTTTTTGCAAAATACGCTATTTAATTGAATTTTGGTTCCTACTTCAAAAAAATTTAAATTTTGGCCCCACTTGAACGTCAATGCTGGATCCACCCCTGATCTCAACTATTGATTATTCTTAGGTGGTCCCAACTATACAGACCATATTTCAAAAATAGTCTCTAACTGGTTACAACCTAGTATAAATGTATAATATGTCAATTTTAAATGTGAACTATGCGTAAACTATAAATAATCCCATCTATAGTCGATTTTTTTTATTAATCCCAATTATCAACTATGAATTTGAATAAAGGAAAATAATAGAAAATCATAAATTGGTAACACAACTGGGAAAAACAAATTAGAAAAAAGAAAAAATTAAAATTTTAGTGAAAATAAATCAAAAAATGTCTATAATCATTTACTTAGCTTTGGTACACTTGTATAACTTTTGTAGTTGTTTATACATGTTTAAAAATATTTATTTTGGATATATATAAAAATATTTCTATATCTTTCAAATATTGAGAGTTGATAGTTGAGATTAATAAAAAAGGTCAACTATAGTTGGGATTATTTAAAGCTTATACATAGACACATAGTTCACATTTAAAATTGACCTGATATACCAGATTGTAAGTTGTAACCTATTAGTAGAGCCGTCAAAATGGGCCGAAACCCACGGGCTGACCCGTTTAAACCCATTTATTGGTGGGTTAGGGTTGTGAATTTCTGACCCATTTAGTTCGCGGGTTTAAGTAGGTTGGCCCAACGGGTCGCGAGTTTAAGTGGGTTGGCCCAACGGGTTGCGGGTTGGCCCGCGGGCCAATATACAAACATATAGTTTTGACTTTATTATCTCCAATATTGTTCTTTTACTACCAAAAACATTATAATTACAATTAAAAATACAAAATTTGCAAAATAATTATTATTTCTATAATGAATATGCAAATAAAATGTTGAAACATATATTTTATGTGAAGTTCGATACAGTATTTAGCAATTACTAGTCATGATTTACAAATAATCAATCAAAAGGTTTAAATAGATTATTACTTTTATACAATGAGTATTTTTGTTACATACCTTCTTATAGTTTTCAAATTCTCCAGTTTTAATTAAACTTAACAAGTATTGAGTTCTTAGTATTTTGATTTCTTATATTTCCCTTATTACTAATTACTAATATAAATATATACTCCAGGGTAATATATTAAAGAATCTTTTGTCATATATTTTTTACATTGGCCCGCGGGCCAACCCGTTTAACCCACGGGTCGGGTGGGTCGGGTTAGGGTTGTAGAAATCCTTGCCCGTCACTAAACGGGTTGGCCTGACCCAACCCACATTAAGCATAACCCGCCACGGGTTGGGTCGAGTTGGGTCAGGTTGACGCGTTTGACAGCTTCTACCTATTAGGGACTGTTTTTGGAAAATGATTCATAAAGTTGGATCACTCAAGAATAATCAATAGTTGAGATTATTAATGGTGGACCGGTAATAGTTGAGATTATTATTTTCAAGAATTAATTCTACTTTTGATCCTACGAGTTTTATGTCGATTCCATATTTAGTCTACTTCTTTCACTTTATCTACTTTTGGTACTTGACTATTGTTTTCATGATCATTTTCGATCCATCTCCAAACAATTTAACCACCAGAAAAGGACTATATATGGGCGAAAAACAATAGTCATGTACCAGAAGTGGTTAAAGTGAAAGACGTGGATTAATTGTGTAATTGGTGCAATATTCATAAGAGCAAAAGTGGAATTTATTCTTATTTTCAATCTTTCCAAGTAAATATTTCCGTAGTGCTGTCAAACATCTTCATAGGGGGCAATATGGATCTATGGTGGTTTATTATTTTGCTAATTGTGAATCGTTGCATTTACTGCTACACTAAAATCACTGATAGTGTAGCACACCTTCCCCCTATAGAACATGCAAAGTGCCACAGTCGATTGTACGACAGGTTGGCAGAACTGCTGGCACCGCATCCCCCGCGGCCTAGCAATCCCCCTAGCACCTGCCAGCCTACAACTCAGCAACATGTTGTTATCGGGGGTCGAACCCTTAACCTTTGGCTCTGATACCACTTGTTGATCGTTGCGCTTACCGCTACACTAAAAGCAATCGCTGATAGTGTAGCATGCCCTTCCCCCTTTATAGAACAGGCAAAGCGCCACGGTCGATTGCACCGGCAGGTTGACAGAACTGCTGGCTCAGCATCCCCGCAGCTCAACACTAATTTATACGCTATGCTTCCGATGGTAGCAGTGTGTTGGTGAATTCATTGCAGGGAGCCACGGACTAGCTAAGGTCTCATCAGGTTTCAATAATTTACTGATTAGGCTAGTGGCAGAGTGAGAAATGAGGAAAACAATGCTTGCAAAGTTGCAATGCATCTTGACAAGGCTCCGGGTTTGGATGAGCTTAATTCGAGGGTTTTCAACACTACTGAGATATAGTGGCCAAATTACTAAATTGGTAAAAAAGAGAGGGTGATTTACCAAATTGGTAAAAAGAACAAAGCTCCAGTAACAAATTGATCAATTTTTTGTAGTGAGAGAATTTTAATCATCGACTTTAGAATTCCCGACATTTAGACTTCCAAGTATTGTGAAAACTAACAATTTTACTAGTATTTAAAAAATTATACTCCATAAAACCACTATGAATATTTCTACTATTTTATCAATATTAATACTTTTTTTATTTTATATGCAGTCGCTTTAAAAAAAACTAACAAAATAGTCATATTTAAAACATTAATACTAAAAATAAATGAAATAATATGTGTGTGTGTTCGTGTAAATAAACATATGTTAAAAATGATCATGGTAGCAGTTATATAAAATAAAAGTAAATATAATTTTTAAAACTTTTTCCAAAACTTATTAAAAAAATAAAAGAAACAAAGTTAAGATAAATAATATACTTTTAAATTCATATTTTTAGTCATTTTACGCATTAACAGCTAATCATAAACATCTAAGTTAATAAATATTTCACTTCACACCGCTAATGAAAGTGGTTGGTTTAAGTAGCTAACAGAATCTGTTAGCATCAATCTACTGATTCAACCGGCTATCAACTAACTGTCAACCATTGATGTTCAATCACCCTCGTTAACGTTTTTAGGAATCCACTTTTCATGATAAAATCACAGGAGAAGAACTAAAAATATATCAATTTCACAATATTTAGTGGACTAAATATCGAGAATTCAAAAAACACGGACTAAAAATGTCTTTCAAAATTTTGACCAATTTGTCACCAAAGCTTTGTTTTTTGTACCAATGTGTTCTCAGATGTTTTTTTTACCAATTTGGTAAACCGCCTTTTTTACCGACTTGGTAATTTGGCTGGATATAATTGATCCTGATGTGGTCTCCTTTTGCGAAAAGATCATGATTGAGGGGAGTTTCACTGGAGGTATGTGCTACTAATATAACCTTGATCTTAAATAAAGATAAAGCTACAAATGTGGAGGGTTGGCATCCCATAGACTATGTGTACTGTTATTTAAAAAAAATGCCACTCTTAGCTAATAGGTTAAAAGGAATGCTATAAATTTTAGTGTTTGTGAACCAGAGTTCTTTTGTGTCAGGCAAATCAATTGTTGATAATATTATAATTCCATTTGGATCTCATCAATATCTCAAGTGTAAGACACAGGGTAAAGAAGTTTTTGTGGCTCTTGAATTCGAAATGAACAATATAGTTCTCAAAATGAACCATAGAGTTCTAAGTGAACAACGAGGGTGGAATAGAATTTCTTATTCAAAGTAATGGAGGCCATAGAGTTCACGCCTAAGTGGATTCAGTTGGTCTAGAAATTTGTGTGTGTCATCAGTTGAGTACTCAATTCCTTTTGAAGGCTCAACGCCTGGACCGACCTTCCTGCAACATGGGTTAAGTCATGGGGATTCACTGTCCCCATATATTTATTCATTTTGGTGATGGAAGATCTAAGCTTGCTAATTAGGGAAAAATGAAAATTGTGGTAAAATTTATGGGATTTCTGTGTCAAGAGGAGCTCCAATGGTGTCACTTATTTTTTAGGGATGATACAATTTCTCTCTACTTTCTTCCCTACTGTAGTCTTTCTCTCTACTTTCTTCCTGGAGTGGGAGTTCCAATGAAACAATAACAAACTTCAGCACAGTATTGTTCTAATCCTTCAAATTTCCTCACAAAATATACTGGGATGATTCAGTTGTTCAGAGTGAATTGACTGTCATAGACAGCTATGGTCAGGCAGTATTTTAGTTCTGCTTGCATTGGTTTTGTAAGTAACAGCTGGATGAAAATCATTCTAAATGGATAAACTATGGTGATGGGGCAACGTCATTAGTTTTCCAAAAATGGTGTAAAAAAGAAGGGATCTTCCTACCTTCTTTTATCCTTGAGGATTTCGGCTAGAGATTTTGGACCCTGAAACTCGTCTTCTAGTCCTGTGGGCCGTGCCTCAAAACTCAGATTCCATTTTGCTCTCTTCTTCTCTTCTTTGATCTGGGAAAGTGTCTTTGGTGCAATAAACAGGTTGCTTGATTTTCTCTTCACACAATAACCTCCAATCCTTGAGACTCGTTGAGACTGAAAAGGAAGCAGCTGCTTACCACGCCTCCTCTTAAAATGCTCCTCCATCTGACTGTTCATCATATGAATGTGTCTAGGTGTGCGTCTATGGCGGTGGAACCCATTCAGGGAAGCCCAGCATTCTGGTTGTAGTGATCCAGTCACACTAATCTCCAGCTTCGATATTGCCCTTGTACTGTGCAGGTGGGGATGCTGGTTCCAGCCATAGGCATGCTTCCTAGGGTAGTAGTGATAGTGGTGGAGGTCTGCACCCTTCAAGTTAAAACCGCCCCATTCTGTCAGCTTGATTTTTCTGTTCTGATGATGCAGAATACAATCCCTCAAACGGGCATTGCCATTCGGTTTTCTCAAAAAATAACCAGTAGCACGCTCATAATATGGAACATGTGATGCTTCTTCTTCAAACACAAGCCCTTCATCTGCATGAAACGGATTGTGTTCAATGCTGTCATCAAAATCATATCCGCCCACATACTGTTCATCAACATGTATGGCATGATATTGGTTTTGGATCAAGTACTCATTATCTTCCTCTTCATCATACATCAACTCCTTCGATCTATCATCATTGAAAAGAACATCAAAACAAGGACATGCTTCTAACCCCTCTTCTTTCTCTTCCATTTCATCATCTGAACTCCATGCAGTGTCAGAATGAAGTCCTCCAGCAGTGAAGCTGTCATGAGCAGGAAATGAAGATTCCAACTCTGTTTCTGGAACATGACTTTCACAAAAGTTTTCTACAGTAAGATCATTTGTTGTCTGAAGGAGATCTACTTGAGTCTTGATATTTCCATTGGCTGCAATCTCCACACTAAAACCAGGATGAGTTTCCAGTGGTACTGACACTATTTCAATTCCCACACTCAATTCTTTTTTCTTCTTCTCTGGAGCTGCTGCTGGTTCATCAGTGACTCCAGAAGTTACCCTTGAGGAATTCCGGGCAACTAAAACGTCTCCTGGTCCATGTTGAAACACACATTTCTCACCTTTACTACAGAACCCATTGTGATAGAAAAAACAAGGAACGCGGGTCTTCTTGCTCATAAGTGCTACAGACTTATCATATGTAGTTGTTGCTTTATATGAAGTCTCAGCAAAAGTCTCTAGTGGCTGAGAAGGAACAAAAAAAGAGAGCTTTAGATGAAATACAAAACTGGATGGAATAAGCAAAAACTTGTAGACTTGAGGACCAGTTCATCTTTAAGCAATGCAAGAAAGCAAGCATATTTGAAACTGTTTGGTACAATGCCGGTATGTGCAGAAGGGAAGATCACCACTATTCCCCCAAACTCCCTGTTATAAACTAGGGTTACTAATGAAAAAACCCAAAAGTTTGCTAATTGTAAAATTATGATAAAAGCTTTTGAAGTTTTTATTAGTATCAAAGTGCAAATATTGGTAGAACTTTAGACACAAGTTTAGCTCAATCTTGGAATGGTCTGACCAGACATAAATTGCTTTATAATTCATATATAGTGAATGTTATGCTTGCTGCATATAATCATGTGTCAGTAATTATGATAAAACAATTAGTGGGTATTATTATATTGTTATCCTTTCCTTGAGAAAGAATGTTAATTGTTCACTTTTAAATACGAAAAACGTGTAAATCCCATTCAAACCCAGTTGAATTTTCTGAGTCGGTCTAGCATGAGACTGAAATTGCACAAAAGTTACTTGTGGTACTAAATTACCAATAACTATCAAAGTTTTAGCTACCATTGGGACAGCATTAGCTTTCAACATCAAGTAAATTAGAAACAAGCACAATAAAGTAAATCTTCATGTTGCATTCTTTGAGCGTGTGACACTGTGACATATATCTTCTCTTGTAAATCAGAAAGTCTGTCAGATGACTATGATTAAGTAAAAGGTCTAGATTAACCTGAAATTCACAAACATTTCCGATTTCACTCCGAACATGTGTAGAAATTGATCTGATCATATTTTGCTGTATTTAGTTCCGTTTAAAGCGTTTTCTATCTCGTTGGAAAGATCTTATCGAGTTCTAAAACTCGTCTTTCGACCATTAAATGGACCTAGTGATGCTTTGCAAGATTTGAGGAAAGGGTCATTGATCTCATACTACAAGATAAGCCAGTTCTATTCAACCACCCTGGAGTTCTCTTTTCTGAAATAGACTAATAGGATACAAATTGAAGGCACTAATGTACAACAAAACTGGCGTAACATATATAAAGTTTAGGAAGGGGCTTTAACACATGCAAACAGATAGACTGCTGAAAGAATCAGAGAACATAATTACCAACTCCTATAAAAAAAGTTTTCAGCACTGAAGCCCTTATCTGCTCTTAATTTCCCCATCCTAAACTACCAAAAGAATCACAGATAGAAAAAGTTTTTAGCACTGAAGCCCTTATCTGTTCTTAATTTCCCCGACCTAAATTACCAAAAGAATCACAGATAGACAGCTGACAATTTCTCCTTGTTTAATCCACAGAAAATAACCAGCTACAGAGCATAAGAAAATATTACTGTTCTTGATGATTTTTCCATGTTAAACCCCCACCAGAAAAGAATTTCCAAACATACATCTGACCTGACATTCAAAAAATGCAGAAACTATATACTACGAGTATATAGTAAATATAAATTACCCATAGAAGGCCAAAGCAGTTATCATGCCTAAAGAAGAGCACATCATCAAAATATCTCACTAAATAAATGCAGCTTACAGGATGTCGGAAACCACATGTAGGATTAAGACAGCTCCCTGCTAACCAAAACCAACACTCTCTCGGGTTGAGCCTAGCAATATCATTGTGCCGATACTCACATTCAATGCCCTGATAACCAGAAAAATGTCATCATTTTTCTAACAAACCCCAAATGCTAATGAAAGTCGACACGTCAATCAAATTACTATAAAAATACCTAATTCATAGTACGGTGCAAGATCTCTCAAATGTGCTGATAGAATCCTCCAGGTTAGCAGTAAAGTTACAGAGAAACTAACAACGAGAGAGAGAGTATGGCCGAAGCCCCCAAATGAGCCAAAGCCCCCCAAAGAAAGAGATTAGCTCTCGATCTTCCCAAGTCCCAAATGACAAATTCTAAAACAGCCTCCTCAACCCTTCCCTGCTATCTTCTATTTATACTAAACTTATACATTTTATTCTTATTAATACTCTAATAGGCCCGGTCCTTTATTCTTAGTATCTAATAGGCCTGGTCCCTAACATGTGCAGGAAAAAAAACTAAATAAACAAAACAAAGGAAAAAAATAAAAAGCAAGCACAAGATAAAACACAACCACAGTCCACAGACAGTATAGGAATACTAATACTCACTTGAGCCTTAAGGAGTGTTTGTGTTTGCTTCTACTTTTGAGAAGTGATTAGTTTAGAGATTATATGTATTAGCTATTTTAATGTATTTATATTTATCTAAATGTAATTAGATAATTGTTAGTTGTTAGCGGATAACTATTAGCTAGTTGTTAGTGGATAACTATTAGTTAGTTAGCATTTACTCAGATCCTAATTTCTAGGAGTTGGTTCACTGTGATGTATCCTATTTATACTGCACTTCTGAATGAGAATTATCATTCCGCCTAAATCTGTTCTGCTCATATGGTATCAGAGCTGCTGATCACTCAGCCCTAATCTCTCTCAGCCGCTATTTCTTTCAGCCGCTGATCAATCATGAAATCTTCTTCTGGTAGCGCCGATTCAACCAGTGAATCCAGTCACACTGGCGGTGCAAATCCTACATCTCAATCTGATTCTTTTCAGAATATTTCTATTACTTCTCATAAATTAAATGGCAGTAATTACCTCCAATGGTCTCAATCTGTCAAATTGTTCGTTCAAGGACGGGGAAAATTTGGATATCTCACCGGATCCACAGCCAAGCCGGAGGAAGGAGAGGAAGGACTTGATCGATGGGAAGCTGAGAACTCCGTGATCATGTCATGGCTTGTGAATTCAATGGATTCAGGTGTTGGTCGTGCCTACTTGTTTCTGCCAAGTGCACATGAAATCTGGACTGTCGTCAAGGAAACATACTCATACTTGGGAAATGTCAACCAACAATTTGAGACCAAGAATCAATTAAATAAAACACGACAAGGAGACAAGAGTGTCACACAGTACTACACTGAGCTGAGCACTCTGTGGCAAGAGTACGATCTGTTTTGCAACTACACCTGGAAATGCGCAACAGATAGTGCATTATTTAAAAAGACCATCGAGAAGGAGAGGGTCTTTGACTTTCTGGCTGGACTAAACAAGGAACTTGATGAAGTTCAAGGTCGAGTACCGGGAAAAGACCCACTACCCAGCACACGGGAAGCATTTGCAGAAGTTAGGAGAGAAGAAAGTCGTAGGCATGTGATGCTTGATGCTGAAACTTCATCAAATGCTGAAACTGTAGCGCTGGCCACTTCAAAAGCTGATGAGAAGTCAGAATTGTCACCCCAACTATTTCAAAAGAAAGAGATCAGACCTGTTTGTGACTATTGTCACAAGATTGGGCATATCAAAGCTAAATGTTGGAAGTTACATGGCAAACCAGCTAACTTTACACCAACAAATAGGTCACAGCGCAATTCCAGAGGTGGTTTCCCGGTCTCCTCATAAGAAACTAATACCTATCCATCCTTCAGTGACAGCTCATCCATCAAGGAAAACTTAGTGCAATTGTTTCGCATCTTGAGTACAAGCAGTTTACTAATAATCCTAATCGAAACACATCTGAACCATCATCCTCATTAGTCCAAAAAGGTACCTATACAGCTGCCTTTAATCTTAGAATACATAAATCCGACCCTTGGATCATTGATTCAGGGGCCACTGATCATATGACTGGATCTTCATATATGTTTTCTACATATATTCCATGTTCTGGTAATCAAAAGGTTAAAATTGCAGATGGTTCATTGTCTGCAATAGCTGGTAAAGGTTCCATCATTGTCTCACCTTTCCTTACTTTATCCAATGTCCTACATGTGCCTAATCTCTCATGTAATCTCCTATTTGTCAGTAGAATAACCACTGATTCTAATTGTCTTGTCAAATTTGTTTCCTCTGAGTGTATTTTTCAGGAGCACAGCTCGGGGAAGGTGATTGGTAGTGCATATGAAAGTGGTGGACTCTACTACTTTGTCTCAGAAAATCTTCAACGTAAACAAGTTCATAATTCATGTTTTTCTAGCTACGTTTCTTTAGAGAATGAAATAATGTTATGGCACTATAGATTAGGCCATCCTAGTTTTGGTTATTTAAAACATTTATTTCCTACATTATTCAAGAATAAAGATGTTGAAGGTTTTCAGTGTGAAATTTGCCAATTGGCTAAACATAAGAGATCTGTTTATCCCTCGGTGAACTATATGCCTTCTAAACCATTCTCTTTAGTTCATAGTGATATATGGGGACCATCTCGTGTCAAAACTTATTCAGGGGCAAGATGGTTCATTACATTTATTGATGATCACACAAGAAAAACTTGGATTTATCTTCTTAAAGAAAAATCTGAAGCTGCTGAAATTTTTAAAAAAATTTATTCTATGATCAGAAATCAGTTTCAGTCTCAATTTCAAGTTTTAAGAACTGATAATGGCAGAGAGTATTTCAATCAAACCCTTGGAAATTTTTTGATTGAACAAGGCATAATCCATCAGAGTTCTTGTGTAATTACACCTCAACAAAATGGAATTGCCGAGAGAAAAAATAGACTTCTTTTAGAAATAACTCGAGCTCTAATGTTTTCAATGAATGTTCAAAAACGTTTTTGGGGGGGAGCCTTACTTCATGCTGCCTACCTAATAAATAGGATGCCAAGCAAGGTTCTAGGCTATCAAACCCCCTTAAAAACTTTACAAAACTGCTTTCCTTACAATAGAGCCTTTAGTGAATTGCCTCCTAAAGTCTTTGGCTGCACCAGTTTTGTTCATAATCATGAAATCAGCCGCAGTAAATTGGATCCTAGAGCCATTAAATGCATATTCTTAGTAGGTGTTTCAAACACTCAAAAAGGTTATAAATGTGTTGATGTGAGCTCAAGCAAGATGTTTGTGAGTATGGATGTCACATTCTTTGAAAATAAACCTTTCTTTGAAAAAACTTCTCTTCAGGGTGAGAGTTTAGTCAGTAATGAAGATAAGTTTTGGAAATGCACTGTACTTCCTATTCCAATTTTTAATAACCAAACTGAGTTAGCCTATAACAAACATACCATAACAAATAATTCAATTTCTCATAAAGACACTGCAAATGTGAGGAACATGGAACCAAATACTAAACTTCGTGTTTACTCAAGAAGGAAAGAGCGACAAAGAGTTGTTCCACAACTTACTGATGCACAACCAATTCCTAATCCAAGCTCTGCTCCAGGTAATACTCTCAGTCTTTATCAAACTCTTGAATTAAATCATGTGTCTGACCATAGTAACCCAAATCCTACCCCTGATCCAAACTTTGCACCTAATCAAAGTGATCTAAATGAACCCATAGCCACTAGGAAAGGAGTTAGAGAATGTACCAAACATCCTATCAGTAACTATGTGTCATATCATAACCTATCACCAAAGTTTAGAGCCTTTACCATTAGTATTACTGATGATGAAACTCCTAGAACGATACATGAAGCTCTAAGTATTCCAAAGTGGAGAGATGTTGTTCTAGAGAAAATGAGGGCATTAGAAAAGAATAAAACTTGGGAACTGATAAAGCTCCCGCCCAACAAACACCTTGTTGACAATAAATGGATTTTCACCATAAAATATAACTCGGATGGTACAATAGAGAGGTACAAAGCGTAGCTAGAGGGTTTACTCAAATATATGGGCTGGATTATGAGGAGACATTTGCTCCAGTTGCAAAACTCAACACTGTCAGAATACTTCTTTCTTTAGCTGCAAATCTGGATTGGCCTCTACTACAACTAGATGTTAAGAATGCATTTCTTAATGGGGACTTGGAAGAAGAAGAGTTTATGCAGGTACCACCTGGTTTTAACAATGATAATAGTGCAGGAAAGGTGTGTAAACTAAAGAAAGCCTTATATGGACTCAAACAATCTCCTAGGGCTTGGTTTGGGAGATTTGAAAAAACTGTGAAGAAGCAAGGATGTTAGGGACCTGAACACTACCAAGAATTAGAGCCTTATTAAGTCATTTTAGTTTTGTTCAATAATAGGGTTTAGGCCCTACAACTTATTAGAAGTGGGTTGGCCCATTAGAAATAGAATAAATAAGGGTGAGTGGGGATTAGATGGGGAGGCAGAACTTGGGATCAGGACTGGGATATTGGGAGTGAGAGACCACTCGAAGAGTCTCAAACCCCTTTCCTTTCGTGACTTTCTGTATTCCTTCACTAAATTTTCATTAATAAACTACTACTTTCTTCTTGGATTCTTCCGTTACTTATCATTGGTATCAAAGCCATTGACAAAAGCCTTACCTGCGCATGGTCTTGACCCGATCGAGAATGGAGCAACGTGTGGAAAATCTGGAAAACACCCTAGCGGAAGTGAGAACTGCCGTGAATGAACTGCTTGGCTTGCGTGAGACCGTGGCCGAATTGAAGAATATCATGTTACAGGGTGACAGCCATAAGAGAAGAGGACGATCAACCACAAACCGTCGTCGCCATACTTCAGCAAGCGTGAGCTCCTCTAGTTCTGAAGGTAAATCTCATGAAACTCACTCAGTTTCACGCAACCCTTATCAGAAGAGAATCAGCGACCGTGTATATACTGGAAGAAAGGTCGATTTACCACTTTTTAGTGGAGACGATGCTTATGGATGGCTGATTAGGGTTGAGCGCTATTTCAAACTCAACCATGTGGCAGAAGAGGATAAAGTAGAAATAATGTTGATAGTCATGGCCGGAAAAGCTCTGAACTGGTACCAATGGTGGGATGAACAGACTGATGACCATTCTTGGGTTAACTTCAAAGATGCTTTGTTCCGGCGTTTTCAACCTGCCTTAGTGCAGAATCCGTTTGG